AGTGTTAGAAAGTAGTATAAACACTTGGCCACGAAAGCACAAACATAGTTCTAAAGTGACAATTATGAATAGCAAGATTGTAATAATGTACAGTAATAATGATAAACCCATACTGACCAGTGGCTTTTATCCATGATTATCAGAAAAACTTTAATGTTTCCAATGCGACTGTTTTAGGGTTTATCACATTTAGCTGCCAATTTTCAAGGCTATGTTTGAACTGATTGAATGGTAAATTTCACATTTTTGTGTTAGAAAACAAAATATGTATTTTGACAATCTGGTAAATGTTTCCACCCAGGAGGCTTCAGAAAATTGTTCAGGCACTGCTGAGTACATAAACATGATTTTTAAATCCCCCCTCCCGCCAATACAACCCTACTATCTCTTTAGAAAACACGCAGAAACACAGTTATAATGTTCAAATGGAAGATCACAAAAAAAGCAGTTTGGGAAGGGGGAAAATCTCTATTCTATACATTTAAACAGTCCTTTTTAAAAGGTTTTAGGCACATTTCTTTAGCTGTTGCTTGTTCCAAAATGGCCTGATAGTCTTTCCCTACAACTCAGGACACCAAACCAAAATTTGCATGGTGCTAATTAGAATTTTATATTTGTTACCATTTAGATATCTCACATTCTTTAAATTACCTTGAGGATTAGAAAGTCTGATGAAAAATGACACCTCTGGTGAGTGCTTTGATGGAAGGCTTTTCTAATTTGTAAATATGTTAAAATAGTAATTTGACCATCATTTCCTCATGTTTGCTCAGGGTAGAAATCAGCCATGGCTACATTCTGCCATGTATTATAGTAATGCACAGAAGACCACCCACAAAAGTTTTAACCACAAACCCAGGCACTGAGCAGGCTTTGATCCTTAACAACAGAGAATAATATAAAATCTGAGTACATTTTCTGTGTTGCTGAGAGAACTTTTCCTGTTTGAACAATAGTTGTTTTTTTAACTTATTAATCAAGAAAACTTAGGATTATTGGTGAATCAAAGTTTTTATACTACAGAAGGGGGCAGTTTTCCCTGTTAGCCATTTGGGGGCTTTCAGTAATCTGACATCCCTAAGTAAAAAAAAAATAGGAATTTTTTTAAAATCTTTTTTTAGCCTCACAGTAAAGCTGCCAGCTAAAGGGTTTTCTCCCAATTTATAAATAAGAAAATTCAAGGAGTTTTAATCACCTGCTAATGAGCATCTGAGAGCACATTCATAATCAGGGCAGTCGGACTCCATTGCCCTGAAGTTTTGTACTATGTTATATAGTATTTGAGCTCAAAAATACAATATTCATAGAATAAAAACCATTTGATAGTAAAGATATTTGCACAGGGCTTAATCAGATAATGGAGGAAGGATGTTCCAAATAGGCAGTTTGTCTTGATGAAAACAGGAAAAGTGTTTGGAAGAATTAGTACAAAGATAGCAGCATGGTCCAGCACTGGAGATGAAGCAGAAGGTTATTGAAGGCATCCTAGTTAAATGTTAGGTTTTAAGACTTGATTCATGTTATAATGAGATGCAACTGGGAGGCTATCTAGAAGAGAATGGAGTGATGAGAATGATCTATACAGGTGAGAGAAATTCTTTCTAAAAATATGACTTAAAAACTTAGCCTTTTCAACAGTTCTAGGATAATGTCTAAAGACTTTTAAATGGCATTCAGGGTACCTAACATTTTTTTCTTACTCCTCCCTCATCTGTACTGAACTCTTTATAATTCAAACATAATCTCATTGATCCACAAAACCTATGAACATTGGGAAAATAGTTGAAGAAGCCTTTCCATTAAAGTTATCAGGAGATCAATATTAACTGTACTAACCAAGTTCCCATCAAGAATCAGATGGCACATCTAAATTAAGATTATTTGAGAGGATTTAATAAAGAAACTATCTGCAAGGGCAAGATCTGAGAAAAACAGAATAATAAAGAAAGGGAGGAAGAACCTAGCAGAGTCATAAAAGAGACTGTCATCTAGTGTTACTGAAGGAAAATTGATTTTTGGTGGCTGCACAGGGCAAAGACTAAATAAAAAGATAAATACCTGACCCACCTCTCTTCTTCCAGGCTTTCCCATTGACCAAACCCAGCTAGACACGGGAATATAGAGGAGACCACTGATACTATCCTCATAGATCAGGTCTGAGGGCAGAGTGGAGAAGGGTTGTTACCCAAAGCTCAGCACTTGTGCCTGAGGCCACATCAGAAGAACAAGGACAAGAGTTGTGAGGAAAGGGAGGTTTATTATTATTTTTCGGGCAAATGAGGAAAACGCAAACTCCCATCATAAAGTACCATCTTTCCCATCTATAAGCAGCAATACAGAGCTTTTAAAAGGGGGGGTTCAGCTTTAGGCAACTGCTGCTTAAAAGCACTTTATGGTTCTGATCCATCCCATCTCAGGTGAAGATAATCTCATGACCTCAACCTGGAAAATTCCATTGAGCTATCTCCTATAGTACAAGAAAACAAAGGACACTCCCCTGCCCTCAGGCAGGGATGTAGGTTTCAGTTTCCAAAAAGGATGAGGGGGATTTAATGAGACAGCCCACAAGAAAAAAAAGAAAATTGGGGGAAAAAAAGAGACTTTAGTAATAAACTGAGTACTGGTTCTGGCTTTATACCTAAAAAAAAAAAAAAATTGATTCTTTTTTTTCAGGCCATTTCTCTCTGTTACAGGGGAGAAATGAATTTGGAGGGCCAACTTTTTAATAATATCACATATTATAGCTTTAGACATACAAGGCAGGGCAGGTAATAATAGGAAAAAGTAAATGCTTCATTTATTGAAGATGTGATTCTATACCTGCAAACCTCAAGGGATCTAAGTGAAAATCTCTTATTAAAAAATTTAGTCAGTTGCCTGGATAAAATGTAAAAATCACTAGCCTTTTCTATTACCAGGTATAATGAAAGAAATAGGAGTCAACTTTTTAAAACATACTATATTTACATGAGGAAAAATGTACCTGAAGTACACAAATAATGGGAGGCTATATCCCATTCTTAAATAGAAAGATTTCATATCATAGGGATGCTATGAAACCATTATGCCAAAAAAAAATCAACTCTTATGAGTACCACTTTCTACTGCACAGATGCCTCCCTTTCAGTATGAACCTGGACTGTGATATCAGTATTAGTTTCTTGTGCTGCTAGAAAATTATTCCCATTTTTAAGGTTTTTTCCTGCTCACATTAAAGCTTTAATCACATATTGGTTCAGAGCTCTCCTCCTCTCTCCAAAGAGCAGACTAAAATGGTACATCTGATAGTAGAAAGAATAGAATGGGGAAGGTGTGGTGGTCTCTCATGTACCTGTCCTCTCTCTCCCGGTGTAGTCTCTCTCGTGTTGAGGAAGGAAGAAAAGATAGATGACTCTATTTGAATGCCAGTGGTGGTGGGGTCATTATCTATTTTGCTGTTCTCAGGTATCGTCACTGGGGAAGGTAGACCTGCATAGAGTGGGCTAGTATGAGAGTCATTTCCAAATAGCTCCCCTCAGTATCAATGGACTCTTCCAACACTCAAGACTGGGTCACTCATTCCCTTGAGGTACCTGCCTCTTTGGCCCAGCATGACAGTCCCTGTCAAGACCGTATCCCACAAGTATCTCTTCCAGTCTTTTTACCATCAAATGGCCATGCAAGGGGTAGAGAGGCCCTTATGGTGAACTTGCTCTTCTCAGCAGGTCCAGCTGAAAGGTTCTGACCTGAATCCTGATGATTTTCTGAAGTTACAAACTGGAAGCCCTTCCGAATATTTTGTTTTCAGTTTTGCGCAGTAGCCATTTGGTTTTCTGAAAATAACAGTCTTATTAATCTCATAAATGACAAATGAGAGTGAAAAGGGTTACGATCTCTATGAGACAAAACTGAAAATCTAAGTAACTTTGACAAAGATATTCCACATTTAATAACTATACTAGAGATAAACTCATAAGAAAAATAATTTGTAGATTTTAATAGCAAGGAATGACAAACAATTAAAATATGATAAATTATGATACAGTCATAAGATGGACTAAAGGCCAAATATTATTTTAATCTCTTAAATATTTGTGAACGGCTCAGTGATTTATTTTCGAAGTATTCCTTGAAAATTTACTTTGTAGTTAGTGCTGTGACATTTCAGGCCATGTAAAAGAAAGTGGCAGCTCTATATACTGAAATGGAATGACTTCCCTGCAATATTTTTAGGTGAAAAATAAAGGTAAGGTAAGGAATAGTTGTGCTTAAAGTTATGGAAAAAAAATGTGGTCATACATTATATGTTAAAAATGTGTATGTAGTAAGAGGTGTTGCTGTTTTCATTTTATAAATCAGAAAACTGAGGCTTCAGAATATAATATATTATCTAGCATCACAAAATCAATAGTAGCATAACTATGATTTGGTTTCAAGTTTATCTGACCCCAAGTCACAGGCACTTTCCATTATAATATGTTTAGCCTTTAACCAGGGTAGAGTTGACTACTCCTTTTTATGCCATCAGCAGACCTTGTGAATATATCTACTATAAATGTTATGACACTATACATTACAAATATATTTTTATTTTAGTCTCTCCTGGCTTACTGTGAGCTTCAGGAAGGCAGGTGCTCTATAGAGTTTTTGTGTCCTCAGTGCTCTGGTATGATACATTGTAAAAAAAGAAAAAAAAAGCCCTGAAAAAAATGAAAGAAAGCCATAATGCATCCTTGTGCATAAGCAATTAATAAATTCACAGTAAAGTCACAGCAGGTTCTTGTAACAACAGTAACAGGTTATCTTATGATATTTACAGAGCATATGAAATTTTAGCTCAGTGCTCTAAATATGGTGATACCCGAACCTCTTGCAGACTATTTAGCAACACCTACTATAAGTTATTCATGGAAAGAACTATTCATTTCCAGTAACACAGTATGTCTCTTGTGCAGAGAATATGGATGTCCATTATTAATTAGTCTGACAGTTCAGGCTGGTAAACTTGTGTTTATTTGCAGGTCGCTCCTCCAAAGACGCAGTGGGTCAGATATCTGTTCATGTGGACATCACTGCCACCCCAGGAACAGGCGAGCATAAAGTCACTGTAAAAGGTATAATATATCAGGTCCAGATTCATCAAAGACTGTAACCTCTGCAGCAATACTAATATCAAAAATTTAATGTTTCTTGGGTTTTTTAAAAAGTGTGATAAATTATATTGAGCATGCTAAGTTCTTCATGAAACCCAAACTTTTGCTTTAAAACTGGGGAAAAAAAATCAATGGCACAGATGTTTATCCTATATTATTCTAAATGGTTTAAATATATTGGCAATTAAATTTTAAAACTTCTGGGGTTGGTGCTATGAAAATCATTGAACTTTAGAACTAGGTTTGGCAATGAAATTTAAATGTTAAGTCAGTATGTTCTTATTGTTCTTATAATCCACCTGTTTTTTGTCCATACTTTCCAATGACTGGTTTAATTTCTTTTTAAAATAATGAGTAACTCAGTCTATTGATTGTTTTTACACTATAATATCTAAATACAGGTATCATTTCAAAGCTAAAATTTAAGAGTTAATATTTTGCTCAATATAACCCTGTTTTAGTTTTATATTATAGATTTAGTGACTACAAATATTTACTTGATAAAAATCATGGCCTCCAATGTTTTAAAATTATATTACATAATGTATTTGTGTGCTATAAAAGTAAAAAAAGTATAGAATAGCTTGTATTCAGTATTGGTGAGGATACAGGTAAGAGGACATTCCTGTATACTTGTCAGTGTCCTTCAATATTTTTGAAAATTAAAGTTTACAGTATATAGCAAATGCCATACAGTTTAAATTGCTAACACAAAAAATTCATTAAAGTATAAGACATGTTCCTAAGCATACCATCATCAAAGGCTGAGTTAGGGTGTACACATGAGAATGTTCATTTAACAAGTGACTAATTACAGGATGGAATATCCACACAGTGGCATACTTGCAGTTGGAAACTATATAATGAATTGGAACATTAGTCATGATGGACTTTAAAAAGTAAAGCTACTGAAAAGATTGTAATATATTATAAACCCCTTTTCTATATAAAATAACTAAAGCATACACACCAAAATGTTTTCATTACCTCTGAGTGGGAATTGGGTCTATTTCTTGTATATTTTCTAAGTTTTTCATGATGGACATATCTTAATTTTGAATATGAAATACACTGTTTTTACCTAAAAGAGAATGGTAACGTTTCACCGCACAGCATAGAGCTGAAAGCTCCATTAAGTTAGCATTCCAGAAAGGAAATTGTTTTTTTCTTCAAGGACATTTTTCTTGCAAATGGGGTTAGGGCACTATCAAATGCAATTTATGACTTCATAAATCATTTTTGAAAATAAAGATTCATTCTAAGGAACAACCAGGAGGCTATATTTCCACACATTTGCTAAAATTTCATATTTCCTTTCTATTTTAGTGATTGCTATTAATGACCTAAGCTGGCAGACCACAGCAATGTTTCGCCCCTTTGTGGAAGTTTGTATACTGGGACCCAACCTTGGAGACAAGAAGAGAAAACAAGGCACAAAAACAAAAAGCAACACGTGGTCACCAAAGTACAATGAAACATTTCAGTTGTAAGTCATAAACTCAACTTATTTATTCAACTAGGCAGTAGCCATTGTTCAACTGAACTTATTGAGGAATTCAGGGTGAGAAAGACTATAAGGTTTCAGTATCCTAATTCATTACTGATCCCAGGGAAATAGAAAAGGCTATGTTTTAATTCAGTATCTGTTTGCTGCCTACCGTGGGTCAGGCAGTGTTATAGGTACTAGGTATATATAAAAAGAGGTCTCTGCTCTCATGTGACTTACTTCCTACAGATGATAAATAAAATCATGAATAAAAACATGTCATAAAGTACTATACAGAGAACTAGAACTATATGCAGAGAACTATGTGGTACTATGACTACCTGCTTTGCTTGGGTAGTCAAGGAAGCCACTGAGCATGTGACTTTTAAAATGAAACCTGAAAAAATAACCAGTCATGAAGGGAAGACAATTCAGAGCATTTGAAACCAAGCCAAATCTGCTAGTCAAGGTCTCTAGGGCAGAAACAAATCTGCCATGTTTAACAAAGAGTAAAACATGGAGTGAATCAAGGGAGTTTGGAAAGATGGTCAGGGTACCACCTCACACAGAGCTTGCAGTGCTAAGTTCAAGGTTGGGGGGGGTCCGTTGAAGGGTTTTCAGATGAGGGGTGAACAATCTGATTTACATATTAAATGATTATTTACTGAAAACAGAAATAATTATAGGGAAGCAACTCCAAATTTATAAAGAGAATAGTAACTGGTGACTTAGATGGTATAGTAGAAAAATGAAAAAAACGAAAAATTCTGGATGTCTTAACAGTAGATTATTGCTATCAGCTGAAGGTGGTAGAACATGAAAGAGTATATCAATTAAATTACCAAGAACATTCAATTTAGGATAATTCAAGGCGGGCTTATTTACAAAGCTGTATGAGCAATAATGATGTGACCAATAGTACACAAGCAATTAGGGGGATAGGGATTTACTGAGATCTGAGAGGAGATCAAGGATTTTGTTTTAAATCTATTAATTTGGAGATTCCTATCAGATGACCAAGAGGAGATATACAATATATAATTGGATATAATTTGAGAGTTGTTTTGCATATAGATATTACTAAATTCTATAAATCTGAATGAGCTGGACTCAGGACAGATAGAGAAGATGGGGTACCTAGGACAAAGCCCTATAGGTTTACATATACAACAAAACAGTCCCATACAGATTTGTTTTGCACTTGGGGGTTCCCACAGTCCTTTCAGAACTCTGTTCTCTGAATACTTCCCTCTTGCCATATCTAACAAAAGGGTTCCAAAAGATTAAGCCCATTAATACTGCTACTAAACCACCTTACATTGATTCTACCTATCCTCCAAATTATATAAAACTTTGACCCAATTAAAATCTCCCTAGAAAGGTCCTAGGGATTACTTGAATCGTGCAAACTTTAGATAAAACAGTGTGAGCTTCTGAGGTCACTATTCTTAGAAAATGTGGCATTGTAATTCACAAGTTCTAACATTTATCATATTTTGATCTTCTATTCTGACCCAATGGTCTTCCATTTTCTTTCACATTATTTCATAAGAACAGTTTTACAATCAGCGTTGCGCAGAAATGAAAGTTTGATTCTGCAAAATATTTCATTAGAAAAATACTGCCTGGAAAAGGATGGAATTTGGAAGCTCGTATTGCTGAGGAATAGATATGCATTCATTGGAAAGTTAAGAATATCTGAGAATGAATGAAAATAAGGAAAGGATGTTAAGACTATTCCCAGCATATTACCACTTAGCCTTCTTCATTATGTTCAGTTCTACACTGACAAGTTGTCTGGGGTTGTTATTAGGAGAAGCCATCCTCAGGCATACATTTTTGACAGGTCTAATTTTTTCCATAAGAAAGAATAGGTATTGAAGCACAGCAGGCTCCACTGGAGGTGATTTACTCTGGAAGTTTGTATCCAATTTAGCACCTTGGGACTAGAACTTGATAGTCTGTGCAGTGTATTCTCCTGAGAAAAGACTCCCAGATCTAATAGCTTATCCAGGAGTCTGAGATAGAGACACTATAGTATTGATGTTCAACTGAAATGGCATAGAAATTCTCCCAGGAGGTAGCCCTCACCCAGCTCCAACAACACCTAGCATCTCATTCTACCCACAGGCTTGTGATCAGTGAGAAGAACCCTGCCTCTAGTGCTTCAGTGCATGATATTGTAATCTCCATGTTTAACTATGTAAAGACAATCCAAATAAAATTTAAAAGATATTACATCAGGTTTAAAATATGATGATATTCTATTTGCCAACACACTATTCTGATCAATGTATACTCTTTTCAACAGTATTGTAGAACCATACTGATTGCTAGGTGAAGTAAAGTTTTTGCTCAAAATTTGTATCTTTAATCCACACAGCGTTCTGAGTAATGAAAACCGTCCAGGGGCCTATGAAATTCATCTCTCAGTCAAGGATTACTGCTTTGCCCGAGAAGATCGAATTATCGGAATGACAGTCATTCAGCTACAGAACATAGCAGAGAAAGGAAGCTATGGGGCATGGTATCCTCTTCTGAAAAATATCTCCATGGATGAGACTGGTTTGACTATTCTTAGGATCCTCTCCCAGAGGACTGGTGATGATGTGGCTAAAGAATTTGTAAGACTTAAATCTGAAACAAGATCTCCTGAAGAGAGTGCTTAAAATGAACACTGCAAGAAAGAGTCTTCAGAATTCAAAAACTCTAATTATCTGATTACTGCATGCATGTGCAAATACATGGGAATGTTTATTTACCTACGTTTCAATGTTTCCCAGTACTCAAGTACAATGTATGCAAGGTATGTGAAAACTCTGCTGAACTTTTATACCTATTCTGGTCTTTGGGAAATAAATGTTCCATGAAGTGCCAAAATTATGATGTAAAGTGAAATATCAAGAATATCTTTTAAAATGTTCATTTCATTACCAATTTCTCATTCATTAAACATACTAAAAAACAGTTAGTGTTTTGAGTTGGCCCATCGGTTGTCCTTGTTAAACGAGTTTATATTGCCCATAGATCAGAAAGCATTTATTACTCAAATTCTGTTTTATTTAGACTGACGTCATTGTAGCTGTCTTACAAATACCCTTTTCTAACAGAACTAGAATTGCAGTCACTTCTAGAAAGCATTTGTAATTTTATAGTTGCAGATATATTGTGATGATTTTTGCATACAAATTAAAATAGAAAAGGTGGGAAATATTTTATGCTGACCAGTTTCCAACCTTTCTGAAATATCACTGTGAAGAAATGCTACTAAAGCAAACTTATACATAGAAATGCTAAATAGAGTTTGTTAACAATGTTTGATATATTGACAAAACTTTGTTCTTTAAAACTGCCAAGGTCACATTACATTTGTAATAAAGGTAAGTTGATGCATTTTGTCATATAGCATTATGTCTGTTTTATCATACTTCATTCTTTAAAAAGTCATAGCATTAATGGTTTAGAAATGGGATGGAAGGTTTATTAAAATTCCTATGCTACTTTAGTATTTTCCCTCTGACAGTTATCTCCTTATTTACTGAACTCTATAAACAGTTCAATGTTTTCTTCTCAAAAATATTCAATGATTTGTACGGAATGCAGCATCACTATATATTGCATTGGAGCCAACAGTCATGTTTTCATCTATTTAGTGAAGATAAGTAAGAGAAAGTCTAAAGAAATTGCTTACAATTTTGTAATTTGTATTTATAAGCCCAAAATGCATCAGATGCAATAGGAGAACAGCAGCTCGGTAAGTAAAAATACAACTAGGTTGGGTTTTGGAATATTTGCATTTTCTGTCTTTTCATGGTTTGACTTTTTTTAGAGTCTGTACCTAAATACTTGGCTGTAGAATAGTATTAATACTTTGTAATTATAACTGCTAGCAGACTACCTACACGTAGAAACAAGACCCTGTTACAATGATTGTGTTTTGTGAACAAGGCTGACTAGATATGTTAAGAACAGAACTGATTAATATCTTGACTGTCAGAACCATTCTGCTTCTGGGTGTAAAAACACAGACCAGTGAGATTGGCTATTTCATGTTAAATTGTTAGGCAATTGCTTTGTTAATGACTTCTCCAAATACATAGTATGATGTGATCCTCTGGCATATGCATTAATAAATGGATATATATAAAGCACATGCACCACTTTATTGTATCTTCTGCCTTTTCATTCCATTTATGTAACATGATTTTATTATTTAGGAATAAAAACAAGCTCTTTTTACCATATATAAAAGTCTTAGCTCTAAAATTCATTCGACATGTTCAAGATGATAATACAGAAAAACTAGTGTGTATACCTCCATGTTGCTGAACACTGTTTAGCCTCATAAAAATACTCAACATGCATAAGAGGTTTCATCAAGTAATTGAGTTGTTCTAAATTTAATCTTACAAATATTTTACAGAACATTGACTTGAGCTTTTTAGGAGCACATTAAAATAATAAAGCATGATGTTTTTGAATAAACACTAGTTCCGGTTTAGATTGATAGCTCATAATTTTTTAGAGTTAAGTATTTTTTCACAGTATTTGTTTCATTGAATCTATTTATTCTTTTTATTTATTTATTTATTTTTTGAGACAGAGTCTCACTTTGTTGCTCAGGCTAGAGTGCGTGCCCTGGCGTCAGCCTAGCTCACAGCAACCTCAAACTCCTGGGCTCAACCGATCCTCCTGTCTCAGCCTCCCAGCTAGCTGGGACTACAGGCATGCGCCACCCTGCCCAGCTAATTTTTTCTATATATATTAGTTGGCCAATTAATTTCTTTCTATTTATAGTAGAGATGGGGGTCTCGGTCAGGCTGGTTTTGAACTCCTGACCTCGAGCAATCCGCCCGCCTCGGCCTCCCAGAGTGCTAGGATTACAGGCGTGAGCCACTGCGCGTGGCCCATTTATTCTTTTTAAAATGTACACAATATGCATCAAAGGCTAATAGTGGTAGTTTGAATTGTCTATTACTAATTTTGAAATAGTTATAAATTCTGTGGACTGTTTTTCTCTAAAGATCCAAGTGTTTCTGATGTCTTTAGAACAAAGCCTGTTGCATTTACTTACCCAAATTAGTAGCTACTCTGGGACTCCCAGTCAGCTGTCCACTTGAGTACTCCACTAATGTGTATGGCAATTTATTCGTGTTATTCTAGATAAAATGCACAAAGGAAAAGCTGTTATTTATCTTCATGGTACCAGTTCTGAAAGATACATGTGTAAATCAAATTTGGCCAAAACAAAGTATTTTAAAACCAGAGTGGTACAATTACAATTTGAAGTATTCTGATGAGTTATTAAGATAATTAGATGTCCCCATCACAACCTGCTCTAACTCATCTACTTCTAGAATACTTTATGCATTGAATGACATTTACAAATGACAGTTCTAGCCTAATGTCTTCCATTTTGGTCTTTTTAAAAAATGTTTAAAACCAGGTTTCCTTTCGAATCCTTTTCTCTAAATTACATAGGTATTACTATACTAATGTGGCAGCTTTAATCTTTATACTCAAATGAAAAATGTGATATGACAGAGGAAGAATTCCTATTTGTGAATATCACATATATAAAGATCCCCATTTTTTTTCATACTATGACAGGTACATTTTATAATCATTTGGCCTGTTCTAGTTTAATTGGTATTTTTTCTCCTGAATATTACACAAACAAAATAATGGCTCATCTTACAATGAGTGACTTCTTCCAATCAATAATTATATTTATGGCAAAATATTTACAAAGGCATGAAGAGAAAGTAATGATCATCTATTTAAAATCATTTTAATTTACATATGCTAAAATTATCTCATTTGTGGTTTGGCAAATGCATAGTCATGTATTGATCACAATCAAGATAATAGGACAGTTTCATCATCCCCCAAAAGTCTATCATGCTACCACCCTGTAGACACATACCTTACCTACCATCAACCCCTGGCAACACAATCTATTTCAGTCCATCTAATTTTATGTGTTCCAGAACATCATATAAATGGAATCATATGGTAGATACCCTTTCAGCCTGTATTGTCACTTAGCACGGTACACTTGAGATTCATCCATTTCATATAGCATGTATCAGTTGTCAACTATTTCTTATTGCTGATTAGTCCATTGTATGAATACTCTAAGGATGTTTTTATTTACCAGTTAACATAGGTGGATTGCTTCCAGTTTGGGGATATTAAGAACAAAGCTGTTATAAACATTTTTGTTTGCATATAGTTTTTATTTCTCTTGGGTGAATAGTGGTAGGTCTGGGTCTTATGATAAGTGAATGTTTATGAGAAACCATCAAACTTTTTCCAAAGTTGCTTGTATCATTTACATTCCCAGCAGAAATGTATGAGAATTCCAGTTGCTTCACATTTTTGCAAGGACTTAGGATTGTCAGTTTTTCTTCATTTTTAATTTATATTCACCTGATGACTAATGATGAATATTTATGTGCTTATCTGGTATCTGAAAATCATTTGCGTATTTATTTAATGGATTGTTTTATTAAGTTTGGGGACATCTCATTTAATGGACTGTTTCATTAAGTCTGGGCATCTTTGTGTTTTCTGTATACTAAATCTTTGTCAGAGATGAGATTTGCAAATATCCTAATCTGTGGCTTGTCTTTTCATTCTCATAACAGTGTCTTTCAGGCAGCAAAAGATTTTAATTTTGATGAGGTCCAATTTATCATTTTTTTTTTCTTTTACAGATCATAGTTGTGTTATCATATTGAAGAATTCTTTGCCTCACTCCAGGCCACAAAAACTTTCTTCTATATTTTCTAATAGAAGTTTTATACTTTAAAGCTTTACAATTTTGAGGTTGTCTGTTTCAGTATAGGTTTTGGATTGAGGTTCTTTTAGGATTATTAAATTACATAATCAGAAATTAATTTGCATAGAGATGTTCAGTTGTTACCAGCAGCACACCATTTGTTGAAAATACTACAACTTTCTCTTTTGAAGTTGCAAAGCTTATTCAAATCAACTGACCAAAGGTGTGTGGGTCCAGTTTTGGACATCTCTAGTGCATTCCATTGAGCTAAATCTGTACCCTTTCACCAATGCAACACTGTCTTAATTACCACACCTTTATATTTTCTTGAACTCAATGTCAGTTTTCCACATTCTTCAAAATTATTTTTCACTATTCTAGTATTACTGCCTTTCTATCACAATTTTAAAATCCCACTGGGATTTTGACTAAGATATTATGGATTTTCTAGATCAGAGGTCCTCAAACTACAACTCGCGGGCCACATGCGGCCCACATGGGCCCACCGAGGACATTTATCCCATTTGCTGGGTGTTTTTGCCGCCACTGCCTGTCCTGCTTAGCAGCCAACTCATCCAGGGCCCACAGTGCGCATGTGTGGAATGTGCACCGCACTCTCCAACAGTCTGAGGGAGAGTGAACTGGCCCCCTGTTTAAAAAGTTTGAGGACCCCTGATCTAGATCAATTTAGAGACAACTGACAGCTTAATAATACTGTGTCCCTGAATTAAAGATTCAGTATTTGTCTCCATCTCCGTTGATTTAGGTCTTAATTGCTTTTATTAGTGTTTGATGGTTTTCTATATACAAATCCTACCAAGTATTTTGGGTTGGGGGTATGTGAGAATAAAATTCAAATTCCAATTGTTTGTTTCTTATATAAAAAATCTATTTTTTCTATTGACATGGATACCTCACTTATTAGGATCACTTTTGTAGGTTCCTTGGGATTTTCCATTACATTGAAAATCATACAGAAAAGCAATTGTTCTTTTTCCTTTCCAGCCTGTACACATTATTTTTCTTTCCTCAGTGCACTTGCTAAGGCTGCCAGTATGATGTTGTATAGGAGTGGCAAGCACAGATATGTTTGCCTTGTTCTCAATCTTAGGAAGGATACATTTCAACTGCACCACGAATTATGGTAGCCATAGGTTTTACTCATGCCTTTTATCAGCTTAAAAGAAGTTCCCTTCTACCTTGCTAAGACTTTTCATCATGAATGACTTTTGAATTTTGTCTAATACTTTTCCTACATCAAGTGAGATGATTATAAAATTTTCCTAGTCTGATAATATGGTAAACTACTCTGGTTGATGTTTGAAATAACTTTTCCCTTCAGCAATAAACTCCACTAAATCATTATGTATGCCGCCAAATTTAATTTGGTAATAACTCTGTTGGAGATTTTTGCATCTATATTCATAAGCTATATTATCTATGGTTGTTTCTTGTAATGTTTCTATCAGGATATTTATGGCCTCCTAAAATGCACTGGGAACTATTCCTTCCATTTTTACATTCTGGAAGAGGCTGTGTAGAAGAGGCATTAATTTTTTTACTTAAATATCTGGCAGAATTTAACAGTGAAAACATGTGGGCCTATATTTCTTCTTTATTGGGAAGTTTTAAACAATGAATGCAACTACTCTAATAGATATAAAACAATTCAAGTTTATTTATTTTGGTTTAAGCTTCAATTATTTGTGCCTTTTAAGGAATTGCTCCATTTAATTTGTCAAAGTTACAGGCATAAAGTTGCTACAATATTTCTTTATTAGCCATTAATATTTACAGGATCTGTAGTGATTTTCCCTCTTTTAATAATCTTTTAAAAGATTAGATTTGATTTTACTGTTTTTCTAAAGTGTCTTTTATTTCTTTCATCAGCTTGACTTAGACTAAATTTTTTTCCAATTCATTAAAGACCTTGGATTGATTTGATACCTTGTCTTTTTAAATATGAGCACATGCCACAACTATTTCCTAACATGGTTTTCACTTCATTTCACAAATTTTGATACTGTATTTTGTTTTTGTTCAGTTAAAAATATATTTAAACAAATATTTTCTAATTTCTCTTGAGTTCTTTGACCCATGGGTTATATATTAATATATTATATATTAATCCATGAAATAGAATAGATCCTCTAGAAACAGACTTATGAATATATAGAAATTTGGTATCCTCTAGAGTAGAATATCAAATATATATATTCTATATCCATGTTGAAATAGGTAAAATTAGATCTCAATGGACAATACAACAAAAGTAATTATTAGGTGTAAAATTCATCTGCATTTCAAATGTCTACATGTAATATTTTTGAGAACACAGTATCATTACAACATAGGAAAAAACACCATTTCTTA